ACTATCAACAAGATGATTGGACAACCTTTCTGCCATTGGCAGAGTTTGCTTATAATAATACGGTACATTCTTCCACGCAACAAACACCTTTCTTTGCCAATTATGGCTATCATCCACGACTTGATACTTTTGATTTTTCAAAAGTTGATAATCCTGCAGCAGAAGATATGGCAAATCGGTTGTCAGAGTTACATGCAATAATGAAGACGCAATTGAAGGAAGCTCAAGAACGACAAAAAATAAACGCAGATCTATATCGTAAGGAGCAACCACAAATCAACGTGGGTGATAAGGTATGGCTACTTCGTCGCAATATCAAGACTACTCGACCTTGTGACAAGTTGGACTATCGTAGGCTTGGCCACTTTTCTGTTTCTGAACAGATCAACCCAGTTGGATATCGGTTACATCTACCGGAGTCAATGAAGATCCATCCTGTATTCCACGTGTCTCTTCTTGAACCATATAAGACAGTGGATATACAAGGAAGAAGACAAATGCCATCGCCTTCTATAGAAGTAGATAATAATGAAGAATTTGAGGTGGAAGAGATATTAGACTCAAGGCAGCGCCGAAATAAGCTGGAATATCTTGTTCATTGGCGTGGATATGATATTAGTGAACGCACATGGGAGCCATCCAGGAATCTAGCAAATGCATCAGCTAAAGTCAAAGTTTTTCATCAACGACATCCATCAAAACCAAGATGAAAATCTCTCTTATAAAAGAGACAAGATTGGGGTAAGATAACATTCAATTTTCTATCCTTGTTTGTAACTTCTTTGCATTTGTGACGCTAATTAGATGGAGAGCCAACAACCAGCGGATTCAACTTAAGAACCTTCGTTTGCTGACCTGCCGGAGGAGACATTACGATTTTCACAACCTTCAAGACGATGCAATCGAGATGAAGATCTTCAAGAACGACATGTTCTTCCTCGAATAGATGGTGAGATACAACGCATTTGGTATCATGATTTGGGAAGGAACTCTCGATGTTTGGTGATTTTGCTAGAGGTAGGAACAACTCCTGATGGTGTTCCGAATATTCTATTCGAAGGAAGTTACGAAGGCCTCAACAATGATCAAATAACTGGGTGGTCTTCCCGCCCTGGTATGGGACACTACCGATGGTTGAGAGGCCCTATCAATCATCTTCGAAGAGAACAGAGATCAGAGTATGTGGCGAATATAATTCGTCGCATCATAGATTTCCTCAACATATGATGACCGCTCCTCGTGGAACTCGTCTCTAGAAGGGGGGGTAATGTTATGGCCATAATCATGTAAGCTAATAATTACATATAGAAATAGGTAGAAGTAAGTAAAAGTAGATAAAAGTAAGTTAATTCTATAATATTTAATATAGAAGCTTCCTAGAAACTTCCTAGACGCTGCTTTGACTTCATAGGTGTCTTTAATTGACTTTTTGGATTAGAAACGTGGTCAACAAGTTGGCCATGTGGCCCACATGTAGAAAAACTTACCTTGTAAGTCAAGGCATGTGTCCTACAAAGTCAATACATATTGGAGGTCCTATAGAACGTCGCCACGTAGCTCCTAATTAGATAGTATATATAGAGACAAGAGTGAAGGCTTCTTCACTCTTGTCAACTCCTTTCTTGCTTCTAGTCTAGGTTCAAGAGTCTTTAGTTTCTTGTCTTGTGGCAATAGCCATTCCAGTTTCCTTTTAATATACCTACTTGTTTATATTTTGACTTATTATATCGAGATAGCCTTTTTGTGTATATTTTCCCTCATCGAGTCTTTGTCCTTGACATTATCTTGCCTTCATCCCTCCAAATAAGCTTATTAGAGGTTTGAAACTTCATCTTTGAGCTCCAATCTTCTCTTTAAATTTTATATTAGATATCTAAATCTTATATATTTTAAACACTATAATCAATATAAATAAACCTCAAAATAAATTTTCTTATATCAATTCTTTTTAAATTAAGCTATTAATCACTCTTAAGTACATCAATATTTATAAATATATTATCTATGTTAATTAATTTTTATATATTATGAACAATTACAATACAACAATGCACCATCTCCTAAACTATTATAGCTAATTTTACTACTTATGATATATTGGGAGCATGTGACTATAGATCTAATTACGTATTTGTCGCAGATGCTTCATTATCATATTGCAATTGCCATCTTTGTGGATTGATTCTTAAAGCAACTTCACTTGGCCATGGTGCACTTGGATATTGATGCCTCAATGCTTGCATGAGTCTTCTTTGATATCATCTTTCATCATCATAGATTACCTCATGTCATTGTTTCAAATTTTGATCCATGCTTCAGAAGAAGTTTTTGACAAGTCTTATTCAAGCTATTAGACACATAACTTGCTATGTCTACAACCTTCCATCTACAAACAGATGGGCAAATAGAGCATGCAAATCGGACCTTGAAGAATATGCTACGGGCATTTGTGGTGGTTCATCATAATAATTGAGATGAATACTTGACACCTTTAGAGTTTACTTATAATGATAGTATTCAAGTAAGTATTGATCATTCACCATTTTTTCTTAATATTAGTCAGCATCTGATTATGAACAACTCTCTATTGTTCCATCAACATCAACAACTTGATAACAAAAGAATTTATATAATGGCTTATAATAGCCTTATGAGAGGCACGTTATCACCTCTTTATTGCATAGAATTGACAAAAGTAGTATATAGATAATTATCGGCAGCATAAGACCTTCCGAGAAGGTGATCAGGTGTTATCCTCCAACACCAACTTACCACTTGTTACATCAACCCAAATCCATAAACTAGCACCTATGTGGCTTAGACCTTTCTATATTTTTGTAGTGATTTTTGATGTTGCATACCACCTTGAATTTTTGCCACATATTCGGATTCATGTAGTCTTCTATGCTTTGCAACTAAAGGAATTTCATACCGAGCCAAAGCACTTTCCAAATCAACACCAATTACCACCACTACTAGTTGTAATTGATGACCAATAAGAATATGAAGTAGATAGCATTTTGGAGCATCGCTACCTTTGTTATGGTAGTGGACATCCACAACTTTAGTACAAAGTTTTTTGGAAAGGTTATCCCATTCACGATGCAACGTGGGAACCTATACAAAACCTCACTCATTGCTATGAGACAATTTAGAGATATTATTGGGAGCAAAATGAGGATATTTCTTATTAATAAAGGGAGATTAATTGTAACACGGTATAAATAAGATATTTGTATTATTGATATATAGAGATAGATAGTTAGAACTATCGAAGTTTCTAGAATTGAGATTAGATTAGTGGACCATGTAAGACCTATCATGGAACATTCTAGAAAGAGTTTAGAACAACTATCTAGGTAGGATCTACCATAGAACTTCTAAAAGGAATTTAAGGCAGTTATTTAAGTAGGATATATGACCTAAGAACATTCTAAAAAGTCTAAGGTGGTAGAAGAAAGTATAAATAGGACTAGTTAAGGCCTTTTGGGGTATCTAGTCAAGTATGGCTTTGGACCTTTTATCTTAATACAATTGGATTTTGTATCTTTCTGTTTTATTCTGTTCTGTCTAAATTTTGGTTGCTCAATTTTGTCTTTTGTGTTCCATTTTGTTTAGTTCTGTTCAGTTTTGTTCTTATCCAATTTGTCCTACATTGTCATGAAGTTTTATATTGTTGTGGTTTAAAAGGGTCTTGGACACTTAAGATAGACAAGTCTTGTTTCAATTTTATAATTTATTATAAAATAAGTAAGGTGCTTTTAAAGAGTACATTAATAAGAACTTGACTAAAAACTTCATCTACCATTCAAAATCTTTAATAGGTGCTCCTATCATATTTGTGAAGAAAAAAAAAAAAAAAAAAAGATCTCTATAAATATATATGAATTATTAAAGATTCAATAAAATTATTATAAAAAATAGGTATTTTTTATATTTAATTTCAAATCTTTTTGATCAATTCAATAAAACATAAATTTACACAAAAATATATCTACAAGCAATATACAACTAGTCTACATCAAGGAAAGAGATCAATAGAAGATTACATTTTGAATGAGGTATGGATATTTTGAATATAATATCAAGCCTTTTAGACTCATGATTGTATTAGCTCCTTTTCAACATCTAATAAAATGATGTTTTTTGTGAGTTTTTTTGATAATTTTGTCGTCTATTATCTAGACAATATTTTAATCTACTTTAAGAACAGAAAAGAGCATGAACTTCATATTTGTCATATATTACAAATTTTTAGATTTTTTTTACTTTTAATTCTATATTAATTCATTCTATATTAGTTAATAATTTTCTATAAGATAGTTGCATTACATCTCAACTTAGCTTTAGCTTTCTTTGAACTCTTCTCCTTTTATTGTTTGATTTGATTAACTTATATAATGTCTTCTTCTAGCATGGCAATGAATTTGTCACTTTTTTGTTTTAATTAACAATATCTTATAGTAGACTTTAATTGCTATATCTACTTTATTGATTAAAAAAATATTTTTATTCTTCATTTATTTATAATGACCTTAAATAAAACATGTATTTATTCTACATTCTTCAAATACTAAAATCTAATTAAAAATTTAAAAATCTCAATTATCTATATATGAAATCATTATGAGAACCAACCTACACTAATGCATGCTATGAGTCTCACATATGATTCGTTCTTTTAAAAAAATAAAAGTAAAATAAAATAAAATTGAATACTGGAGTACATACCTTACAATTCCGCAAAAAATTGCACAAAGAGCAAAGAAAAAACCTATAACCAAAGACCGTGGGCCGAGAGACCCCCCGCGGCGCGAAGGCCAACGGATGAGGGCCACGGTGAACCTCAGAAGCGTGGTGGGCGATGCCCAAGATAAGAGAAAGTGCACCATCGAGCCGCCCGCAGCCGCACGGTAGCCCCGTGGCGGCAGGCACGGCCTCCCCGCCACCCAATCCCCGCTGTGCCAGATATTTTGTGCCCTGGACGTCGGCATCATTCGCTCCCTGCAGCGTGGGTTAGGATGGAGCGTGTGTGAGAGTGAGTAGCGTGATGCCGGGCATCGTCGGGAATCATCTCGCACCCCGTGCTGGCCTTGGACTCTTGAAGAAGAACAAGACCCCCCCCCCACCCACCTCCATCGCCATGGCAATGGCTGTCTGCCGACTCAGATCAGCTATCGCTGCTTCTTTTTCTGCTCCCCTCGCGTCTGCCCCTGCCTTCTCCGGCCTCCGTCGCCTCCCTCTTGCTCCCGCTTCGTCTCCCGCTTTCGGTGTCGTCTTCTCTTTGGTAAGCTTGAATTTGGCGTAATTCCATGTGGTGGAGGTCTGTGGAGTGTCAGAATGGATGTTCTATTGTGGTTGAATTCATTGTGGTTGGATTGCTTTGAGCAGTGCACGTGAGGGATGCGCGGTTGTTGAGTTTCTTGATTTCTCGGTGGACGGGATTCGGATTTCGCTGGACGGGAATTTGATTTGACGCGCTTCTTTTCTGTGAATCGGTGGATTGTGTGATGGTTTTTTTTTCCTTTTCTGATTCGAGGGAGGTAATGAGGTGATGCAGAGTGAGGGGAAGGGGCACAGAGGTGTCGTCACCATGACTGGGGCCGGGAAGTTTTTCGTTGGCGGGAACTGGAAGTGCAATGGCACAACTGAGTCGATCAAGAAGCTCGTGGAGGATTTGAACAGTGCCCAAATTGAGGACGACGTTGATGTCGTCGTCGCTCCCCCGTTTTTGTATATCAGCCAGGTGGTCGGGTCTTTGACGGACCGCATTGAGGTCTCCGCTCAGAACTCTTGGGTCGGCAAGGGAGGAGCCTTCACTGGTGAGATTAGCGCCGACCAGCTGGTCGATGTCGGTGTGAAGTGGGTAATTCAGGGCCACTCTGAGCGCCGACACGTCATTGGCGAGTCGAATTCAACCGTTGGGAAGAAGAGCGCGTACGCATTGTCCAAAGGCTTGGGATTGATTGCTTGCGTTGGAGAGTTGCTCGAGGAGCGCGAAGCCGGCCGTACCACAGATGTTGTGTTTGAGCAGCTGCAAGCATATGCCGATGAGATCTCAGATTGGTCGAAGGTGGTGATTGCCTACGAACCAGTGTGGGCCATTGGAACTGGCAAAGTTGCCTCTCCTCAGCAAGCGCAGGAGGTGCACAGCGCCATTCGATCGTGGTTGAGTGACAAGATCTCGCCAGAGGTGTCCTCTGCGACTCGCATTATTTACGGTGGTTCTGTGAACGGAGCTAACAGTGCCGAGCTTGCCAAGCAAGAAGATATTGATGGTTTCCTTGTCGGTGGAGCCTCATTGAAAGGACCTGAGTTCGCCACAATCTGCAATGCTGTCACCGCAAAGAAAGTTTCTGCATAATCTCGTACATTGAATGCGCTGGTTTAGCCGAATGACTTAGACTAAGCGCCTCCCTTTGTAAATCGCTCTCGGACATGCTGTAATGGTAGCCCATGTTTATGGTAAAAAATCATTGTAATTCTTCAAAGCTTTTCCTCTGTATGTTTACGCGTAATACCCTCTGCCAGCTCGCGGGAAATTCTCCACCTTTTTCTATTAAAGAGTAAGAGAATCCGTTCAATTTCAATTTTCGTGAGACTATATTACCTAGCTATCTTGTAAATTCTCATGAACATACCGCTTTGATGTTGAGTTATGTGTTGACCAATTGGCAGGATTGAGTGTAATCGGCATGCATGAATTGGATAGTGAACATCAACTATTTCTGATTGGTACCAGTAGTCGCTTCGCAGTGGAGATAGTTACGGTTCTCGAGGACATGTGATTCCCAATTCCGTGCAGGTATTGCATTTTTGCAATGTTATCCTTACGAAGTCCCACATAGTATGAAACCGTACCCTTGATCCTCTCGTTGGGAATATGTTCCGTGAAGTATAGGTTGCTATCAATTTAATGGATCATAGGCTCTTAAGCAGGTCTCAGTCGCATTGGTTACGTACGAAGTGTATAGCACTTTCACCTACGACCTTGACTCTCGTGAAGATTTACCCGCAAATTTATCTGGATCCCTTCACATTCTGGCGTCCTTCACCCCTTAAATGCATGGAGGTTCTTCAGGTTTTGCCGTTATCTTAAGTTGCAACTTGTACCCCACACAGGTAAGGATAAGATTCATTATGCTTTATCAGTGGTCCAATAGATGAGGTTGACGATCTCCTTTCCACCGAGATCATTTTCCTGTTACTCTAATGAGGTTTGCATGGCTGTTACTCTAATGAGGTTTGCATAGCTGTTACTCTAATAAGGTTTGCATGGCCAAAGGTTCTAAAACTCTTAAGTCTTGATGCACTTTTTGCAGGTTCCTCTGTCTGTTGAACAGACCACTTTCCCTCTATGTTCAAATGGTTACCTTGAACTGTTTAAGCGCTCTGTCTTCAGGGCAAGAACTGTTGCCGCTGTGAAGGGATATAGAAATATTGTTGTCAGACAATTTAAAAAGGCATGTCGAAAACTTATGGTGATATCAAAGATTCTGGTAATTTTGCTACATAAATTTTGTTGTCATAAATTAATTTACAAAAATTACCTCAAATTACCAATTAATTTATGACTTCACAAAAAATAAACACAAAGAAGTTTTAAATTAATTTCAAAGAAAAATAACAAAGAAATCCTAAAGAAATGTTAAAATAAATCTTAAAGAAATAACAATAACCTTGAAGGAATACTAAAAATAGAAATTCTAAATAGATATTAAGAAAATCCTAAATCAACCCTAATTTAGTTCTAATTAAAATCCTAATAAATTTTAATCAAATCTAAGATTGAATTCTAATTAAATCCTAATCAAAATTCTAATTATAATCCAAATGAACCTTAACTAAACCTTAGGTCAAATCTTAATGAAACCTTAATAAAATCCTAAATTCTAACCAAATCCTAATTAAACTTTAAATCCTACACCAACCCTAATAAAACCCTAGAAAAACCCTAAACTCTAACCAAAATCCTAAATCAATCCTAAGCAAAACCTAATTAAATCTTAAATCATAAATAAATCTTTAGCAATCCTATAGTAGATTGAAAATTTAATAATTAATAATTGAACTATTGATTTAGATTCAAAATTTGTAAATTTTACAAAAACTAAGCTAGCAACAAGCACAAAAAAATTGAAGAAGATTACATATATTAAATAGATGATAATCCTTAAACTCCATGCCACGTGTTAGTTGGCCTCTTTCTCCAACCTTGATATTGAAATTCTAGGGTCACAATTTCTTAATTTCATTGTTAAATTGGTTCCAAATTTTAGAATTTTTTTGGAAATCAAGCCAGCTACTATTGAGCAAAATTGTACATCAATCCAATTAGCACATTAACAAATATCTTGGAAAATCTCACTATGTTTCTAAATCCCAATTTTTGAGACTACAACTTTTTAAAACTCTTATATTTTTTAATATAACTACTCAATTGATTTCAACTCTCTCACATACATTTACAACAAGAACAATGACAAATTACCAAATTTTCATTCCTAAATATGCTACAAAACTCACAAAATCTTAAAATTTATAAACTTGTTTTTATTTCTCAAAATCTAAATCCACCAAGTACATTACTTGCTTTGAAAATCCCTCAAAACCTCAATATTAATCCAAATGACATGAAACCAACTCTTAAAAAATCTCTTCACTTGTTTGCTTTCAAAACTTACTTTTTGATTTGCAAAAGAATCCTAGAATTATTGTAGGTGTGCAATTTTATGCCTCAAGATCTAATTTCAATCTAGGTTCACAACTGATCCTCTTTGGGTATCAATTTTTGGTAATTTGAGATAATTTTTGCTTAAACCTATTTTTCACTCTCTCCTAAAGATACCTATATTATTTGCTTATCTCATTTACTTTGATTTAAAGCATTTATATCCATACTAAGTAAATAGAAGTCTCTTGTACAAAAGCTAGACTTTTATTATCTTCCTATAATTTATCCTTGTTTTTCTACTACATCTATCTACTAAACTCTTCTATAATAACATATATATATATATATATAGCCATATAGTCTTGTTACCACATTGATTTAAACAAATTCTTATGTTGCATCTGACAACAATCTATATTCAATTTTGTGCTTGATAGAGCCACAATGGATTGGCGTTTTGAGTGCCACTAGACGGGGCTGCTACCAAGCTGAAAAACGAAGCCGGTTGTTGATTGACCATTTTCGATGTCCGCAACATAATGGAAGTCCACGTGCCTTGTAAGAGTCAGTTTCTCACCCCTTACAAACAGAATCCCGTAGTCTCTTGTTCGGCTAAGGTGCCTCCAAATTCGTTTAATAGCCTTTAGAAGAGAGGTTAATGGCCGTTGCATGTAGCGGCTACAGATTCCAACTTCAAGATTGATGTTGTAAAGAGTGTGGGTGAGTTGGATCAGCTCTCCGATGTGCCTTCGATATACAGTAGGATCGACTTCTTCATCATCTTCTAGTAGTAGCTGTGGTCGTTGCACCATTGGGGTGGTCACTGACTGGCTATTGCTGATGCCGAAGAACTGGAGACATTGCTCGATGTACCGATTCTAGGACATGAAGATTCCGTCATTTACTCTTGTCCCTTCTCCAAGTGGGGATATGTCAAAGCGAGTTTTGAGTTGGTTGCGGAACCAACTAATCCTTGCAAAGCAACTTCCCGTGAAGAGCAGATCGTCGACATAGAGGAGAAGAATCAAAATCTTGTTTGAATCTCTGATGACATACATGTTCTGATCCGAGTCACTTCTTACGAATCCTTGAAATCATAACCAAGAGTCGATTTTGTCGTACCAAGTGCAGGGTGCTTGGCGGACGCCGTAGAGAGCCTTTCGAAGCTTGTATACTAGGTTCTCCTTTTCGACATCGATGAATCCTTCCGGTTGAGAGATATATACCTCCTCTTTCAGATCTCCATGAAAGAAAGCCGTTTTCACGTCCATGTGAATGATGCTCCAGTTATTTTGTGCTGCGATTGCGACAACGATTTGAACGGTAGTCCACTTGACCACCGGGGCGAAGATTTCCTCGAAATCTATCCCCTGTTTCTGATTGAAATCGCGAGCGATAAGCCGAGCTTTGCATTTGTTTACAATACCATCCGGTCGCAGTTTTGATTTAAACACCTACTTCGTTGAGATTGTGGTTTTTCCGGGAGGGAGTGGGACAAGCTCCCGCGTGGAATTTTTATGGATCAACTTGAATTCGTCCCGCATCGCCGCGAACCAATTCGGATCCGAGGCCGCTTCATCAAAGGTTTCAAGTTCTAGGTTGCTGGAGACGTTGCCGACGAAGTAGTCGCGCCACCAAGTGGGTGGCGCAGTGCGATGCCGGCCGTTCACAAGAGCCTCTTCTTCACCCACCTCATGATTTTGGATGAATTTGGGTTCCTCATTGTTGCCGATTCGGTGAATCTGAGATTCTTCCGTGTTTTGTGTTTGATCTTGTAATTTACAATTAATTGAATCTGTGCAAGGGTTCTGAGTTTTGATAGTGGGGATAGGAGTATCGTGGGGTACCCCTGATGAATTCAATGACGAGTCGGGACTTGTTTCTACATTGTCCCCTTCTGGTTCGGATGCACTCAAAGTGAGAAGAAGAGGTTGCATGATCGAGGCTAATTGTTCGAGGTCGCCTTCGGAAGGTGAGGTCGTCGAACTGTCGGGTTTCATCAAAGGTAGCGTCCCTGGTGATAATGATTTTTTGGTTGGCAGGATTAAACACCCGATATGCCTTTGCAGATTCGTCATACCCGAGAAGCATCATTGGTTTGGCTCTAGGTTGCAGCTTGTCTCGCCTTGTCTTGTCGATGTGGGTATACGCTATACATCTGAAAGTGCGCAGGTGAGAGACTGTCGATTTTGAAAAAATAATCAATCGGGAGCTGCACCCAGGTTTGTCGTGCTCGGTGATCTTTTCATGATGTAAACAACGGTTTTAGCCGCTTCAGTCCATAGTTCGATTGGGACTTTGCTTGTGAAGAGCATGCTTCTAACCTTATTCAAATTCGTTTGATCTATATTCTCCTCCGTTGTCGGAATGAAGGGTGCAAATCCTTAAGCCAGTTTGATTCTATATTTGGGCTCTTGTATTTCATGAAAATGATCCAAGTTTTTCGGCTGTGGTCATCTGTGAAATTCAAAAAATATTCAGCTCTCCTAAGTGATGGTTTCGGCAGAGGACCGCATGGGTCCGAGTGTATAACCTCTAGTGGCCGCAACGCCTGATTTTCTGCTACCTTCGGAAAGGTTAGTCTTGTGTGTTTGCCTAATTGACAGGCTTCACATATCCCGGTTAGGAGTAGCAATTGCAGGATGCCCAGTGTATGCTTACTCATCAGGGACAAGCTGGAGTAGTTTAGGTGTCCCAAACGAGCATGCCATAGCCTCGCTAGTTCCTGTTTTTGTGTGTTGTTTCCAGAGCCTGAAGTTTCGAGCGGGTTGGATACTGTTGAAGTGGGTGGATCCCGCGGTTGAATGGATGTTGTTGAGTGGCTCTTGAAACATGCGGTCTCCCTTGTGAAAAAGGGTACTTCCACAGTCTGCTTCTAAGCTTTCCGTGAGCGATGATATCTTAAAGAGGCCAATTTTGGAGTCTCGGCTCACTATTGCTACCGTTTTGCATGGCTTTTACGGTGTTAGTACAAGATACAATGATTTAGTAAACAAGACAAGGTTTCCGGAATCTGTGATCTGACCTATAGAAAGAAGATTTCTACTGAGGCCTGGCACGTAACGAACGTCGTATATCGTTTTTGTTTCACTGTTTGGCATCGGAAGCTCAGTTCTCCCTTTGCCTTGTATCACATGGTCCTGGCCGGAGGCCGATACGATTTCGTGAGCTACTCTGTTCTAGAGTGGAGGACATGCTTGGATTGTTGGCGAAGTGGCGAGACGCTCCCGAATCGAGCACCCATTCGTTATCTGATGATGTATCTGTTGAGAGAGCTGCTAGGACTGCCTCGATCTCATTTGTGATGTCTGGATTGTCTCCTGAATTTTTGTGAATTGAATGTGCTTCGGTGGATTGTCTTGCTGAGTAGCTGCAGGTTCCCTGAAAGTTAGATGGGAGTGGTGCTGGGGTGGTACATACCTTCGCAAAATGCCCCGGCTCACCACATCGATTGCACAAGCTTTGTTCTGATCGTGCGTGGTTTGGTAGGTAACCTTTTCTCCTTTGAAAGTTGCTGTAAGCTCCTCGACCAGAGTGTGGGAGGCATCCGCTTCTAACAAGATTTCGAATCCGTGTGACTAGTGCCTCTTCGTGAGAGTAGCCTTGTCGAAGATTGAAATTTGTTTCTTCGAGGTGTAGCCTGCTAAACAGTTCAGAGACGATGGGTATAGATTCCTCATTTTGAACAACACGGACGAAGTGATTGAAACAATAGGGGAGATGAGTGAGAATTTTGTGTACAGTCGTCGCGTCATCGATCTGTTGATCTGCCGCTCGTAGCTCCTTTAGAATGCCATAGATTAGTTGCATGAAGGCTGGGACGTCGAAGTTGTCTGCTATTCAGGCAGATGACCATTTACTTCTGAGCACCATCACATCCGTGAGTGTGTGAATCTTATAGATCTGTTGTATCTTTAGCCATGCCTTCCGCGGGTCCTTTAGATCTGAAATGAAATCCTGAGGCCCTTTTGTCAGTGAAAGTTTTAGGATACCAAGAACTCGTCTTCTTTGCTTGCGCTGGATCTCAAGTTCTTGTCTTGTTTAAGGTGAGCTGCTGGAATCCTTCGTTGCTGCTCCCGATCTAGTGGCTCCGCAGGTGCTGCTTGTATCTGCAGTTTCGTCTTGTGATGGTTCCATACAATCCCATAGATCTTCTTTTTCGAACACGTGCGCCATCGTAGTCTTCCAAAGCTTGTAGTTGGCCGGTGATGCCAACATTTTGTCCTTCGATATCACTATGTCTAGAATGCCCATCTTGTCTAGATCTGATTCTGCTACACGACAGAACAATAAGATATGATGCCTCACACTCGTGCCTTGGAACACCAGTGACTACTCAGTGGTTACCAATGACGCATTCTCTCTGAGCATGCTACCAACTCTGATACAATGTTGCGATTTCACAAAAGGTAACTCAACTTATTCAGATAATTAGTTCAAATGGACGTGGGCTTATGTGCTGATGATACAGTGATAGCCGATTACAGTGAATGAACGGAACAACCTGGAAAGGCTTTTGACGAATGTAAGAACAACTTTATGTCTGGATTGCTAACTAGAGAAATAGCCCCAAGGACTATCGATATCAACACGACGTCCGTACCAAGGCCTGATAGTGATCAATTCGCTACTGTAGAACAATGGTTGGGTGTGCAGGGCAGTCCGCCACGATGTTTCATCGACGTCCCCTCCTCAACAGCACAGGAAGGCGTAGAACCTGTAGATCTATCCAATTCTCTACCGTAGATTTGGGAATTCCGATCCCTTGGCAGTAGTTGACTGAATTTATTGGTTCCTTCCTCAATCGTCTGTTCAAACATCTGTAATAAGTCGAAGCTATTACTATTTCAGTTGTCTTTCAAGTTTCGGTGACGTTGCAACGGCTAGTTTCAGTGGATGATGTACTCCTTGCCAACACCAATTTTTTTCATAAGCATTGCCTTTTTCCATCACCAATAAGTTCTAAGTTTTTTGATAGTTCCCTTCGTCTTGCAAAAAGTAAAAACCTCACACTATCATCACCATCACCAACCCAAAACACCATCAAGGTGAAACTCTATTCTAAGATTCAGAAAAATTCCTACAAAAATTGTAAACAACTTACAATCTTGTTTTCATTTTCACCACTAGCTGGCACGTGGACTCCACCAGAGTACAGAAAACTAGGGAATAGTTTTAGTAGGAAATTCGAATGTCCAAAGTTAAAGCAGCACCACTCCTAGATACGATATTTGGGACAAGGCAAGGTGGCAATTCAAAGAGGATAGTCTCGATCGCAGTCATTCACTTTCTAATCTGGTTTAGTTTATCACAATTAGTAATCAGAACGTAACTATCATCCAGGACCCTTGTTACTGCATATTGATATCTCGAACATCAGAACACTGGCTGTGTGTCAGAAATTCCGTTCAAAATCATACCGTCATTCTTGACAATCAGTACTCCAACGATGGAATCTGTACTACAGGATGAGCAACTCAGAAGTTCCCAAGCTTCTCCATTAGTACAACATCTCGAGCAAATTCTTACACTCACTGCACCATTCTCACAGCTTCACATATTCTAGACTAGGTTTACAATCAGCGCACGTATTCATGAAGAACTGCGGAATCAGTGGAACTCATCGAAGGAAAAGCAAGGCAAACGCCGACGTTGACTCGAAGAAATTCAGCCTTTGGAAACGCCAATCCTCGCGATGCTGCAATCGAACAGCCTCTCGCTCTGTCCACCAGGTCCAGCACCGGATTACTCACAGCGAGGGAGCACGTGGTGCGTCCCCTTGTGGCGATTTCATACTGGAAACTCGAGCTTCGCAACTTTCTACTTTCCTCAACATTCGTGGTTGTGAATATCTCAGTTGCGAGTGCCGCAATGTGACGATTTTGCTTGATGAGAATGTTCCCTTGACGAGAACCACACAGCAGGGCATCGAAGAGGATCCTTCGAAATCAGCCAAAACTTCCCACGAGGCGTTTGAAAAACTCAAAGATATTCTCGGCACGTCAGGGTAAGAGAATTACAAAAATGTGACGAATTGGTGGATGGCAAGTCGGAGGACTGCGGAACCCAACTTAGATTTGGACACAAGTAAACGACCCATGTGGCAAAGGCGTCAACTTGCAGTCAAATTGTGGGACAAATCGGGCCTCTGTGACGCAGGGGAACACGTTGGGAACCCAAAGGGGACAACGAAGAGAACTTCGTCTCTCTCCTCTGATGTGGGTGCGACCGTTAGTCTGGTCCATGTCTGGCATGGTCTGGTAGCCTCGTTTCCTCATTACTAAAAAAAAACTAGGTCCTCTGCTTGCCCGTTTGGACTGATCGGTGCCTGCCTCGGCACCCTCTTCGTTGGGTTTGGGTCGAGTGGGAGGAATGGCGCAATGCGTGGGGGTTTAGCGCGATGATGATGGCGTTGGAGAGAGTTGGTGTGGCGAGGGTGGCTTGAGAGGTAGGAGGGGTTGAATGCTGATTTGTTTCTGCGATCTTTGCTCATGGAGATCTAAATGTTCAGTCTCGGAGGTGCTCCCCATCCAACGTTCGTGATGGTGAGTGGTGGTCGGGTCTAGTTCCCCCCCTGGTTTCATAGTGTGGGCTGCCCAATTGCCATTTGGAGCTAAAGGCTTAGCGCGCGACTGTTTTAAGCTTCCTTGTAGTGCATGGTTAATGCGAATAGCGGGTTTTTGTAGTAATGCGAGGGTCGCTACGTCAGTGTTGACAGCCTCTAGCGTTATACGTTAGAAGCTTGAGTGTCGTACCCCCCGCTCGCAACAGTATGAAGTGGCTTTAGCATTTTTCTATTGCGGATCCCGGATTTGACATTTTTCTTAGGGCGAGTTTTTTGAATGGGAATTACTGAGTATTCTCGGAATGTAGCTTGAGGCATGTCTGCGTTCTCCAAAGAGAGTGAAGATTGTCTTGGGGGCTGCTGTTTGGGTTATTGATGTCACTGACCCGATTGGTTATGCTTCTAGAAGCGGATGCAGGTGACATATGTGCCTGTTTTAGGGTTAAATTTGGATCGGAAAGGTCCATTGTATTTCAGAGTGCAACGGTTTGAGATTGCTGGATTCTGAGTAGCCCATACTTCGATCGTATAATTCTATGTGTGATTTCTGCCTGATCGTTGCCATGGGCTGGTATTGCTGCGCCCCACTTGATCCTCTACATTATGAAATTCAGCTCTAACTTTTGAGTAGAATGTGAACAATTAAAGATTACTTTTAATAGTATATGAGATAAATTCATGTGATTAGGGTTTAGTTGCGATGTTGGACAACTTACTTATCAAGCGTTCCTTTCTGTTAAGGTAGAAGGAGCTAGACGATCACTGACCTTTCTTTTTAGCTTCTCGGTCTCAATCTACTCTCTTCCTCCCCTTCGTTTGTATAGTTCTACCTCACTAGACTTTTGCATCTGATATTGGCTGAACTAACTGTAACCATCAAACTCATGGTATCACCCAATTGATCACATTCTTGACTCATCGTACACACTATGCGAATTAAAGGAGTACCTTTTGTGGATGATCATTGTACCCCGCTAAATATGCCATGTGCTTCTCTGCAGAACAGAAGACGCGGCGGTGAGAGAATTTGCTCTACCTAGGATGTCAAGAGAGCATGCATTGCTCTCTCTTTGATTCTGGAGTGATTTATGGTGGTGTAGAAGAAAATGAGGGGTAGATAGTTTGAGATGAAGGGTGAGTCCCGACGGAGGAGTGGCTGAAGCAGCTGCTAAGAGTGTCATGGGCACTCCCGAGTTTTTCATCATGGAGGAAAAGACAACTGGAAGTGATGTGATTCTTGAACCGTTGGTTGTTCCTGAGTTTGTCATTCTCAGTGAATCATCCCCTGTTCAGGAAGCCGATCTTGGCTTACAGAGAAGGTTTGATTTGGCGTTTGGCGAAGTAAAATACTTCAAACCTGACTTAGTCGTCTCCAAGCCCAGCGCCCCAAGTCTGGATATCTCTGTTAGGTCAGAGTCTGCCATCCCAAAGCGTTGCAATTGTACTCAGTCTCATGAGGAGAGCTGCAAAAACTGTAGTTTTCCGGAGATGCTTGGTTCGGAACAATCGCAGGTCACAGCCAGCTCTTTGAATTCGTCGGGAGGAAATGGTTTGACCGCCTCGGAGGGTGATGAATCTTGCATTCCCGCTATTTCTGTGGCAGAGAACGTGATTGACAAGATTCTTCCTGGAGAAGATGGCCGAAACATTCCCACACCAGATACTCCTGGCTGTGGAGGCAGTACATCGTCTTCTGAAATGAAAGAGGTAGGATTAGCAATGAACGACGACTCTACCTATCTTTCCACATCTCTAGATTCTAGCAACCTTGCCACACCAACTGGGGAGTCACGGGAAATTCCCAAATCCTCACTCACGAAGGAAAAGTCCCTCACGGAGGACCTCACTGAAACCCTAAACCATAACGAAGGAGGTGTCTCAAAGAGTATGATTGTGGCTGTAAATTCTAAGCGGAAATTTCAGCACTTGTCGAACAGCGAGTTTTGCAGCAACTCCGGCTCACCAAAGTCCAGGGAGATGTCCGGTGCCCAGCTGAGGATCTTCGTGGATGGGGATGAGAGAGATGTGACCAATGATGCAGCCGAGGAGAGGCGAAAGAGTCTCATAAATGCAGCAATAGCAGCTGATCTTCCCAAGTTTAAATGGGGTGACCTTGACATGGAAGACCTAGAAAATATGCAAGCCGTATCCAAGAATGGCGCAAATGTTGATTCGAGATCTCTTGTAGCTTATAAGGAATTTCATGAAGATGTACGGTTAGACGCAGGATTTGATTCTCAGGAGAGTGCTTCACCGGGTGTTGAGCAGGAACTTAGAGGACTTGAATTCTCTGGTGGGATCAAGGAGCAAAGAAGCGTTTGCCCAGTAGGCCAGCAAATCGACTTTCCTGGTTTTGTTGTGCCTCTTGCAGATTTGCAGGAGGAGGTCGCTGTTGCAGCGCCTGTGCAAACTTCAACACAGAAGATGAACCCTGCTGGTAATGAAGCTGAGAACCTTCTTACAATATCATTAGAGCTACCTAAGTAGGGAGTTGATAGTGTAGAAGCAGTAACTTGTGAGAATTCAGAGCTTTTTTGGCCTGGTGCTCCTGACCGTGAATGAAGTTGGGTTCCACTTCTCTCCTGCCATAGATAGTTTGCGCAGCTTTGAAGCTAAGGCTTCATAGACGACTGAGGATCCAGTTACCAGTTTAAACAAAAGCTCTTTATAGCAGAGGGCCATTGAACCCTTGTTTGTCTGGCATCTATTAGAGTACTGGAATTTAGTATAGACAAAATGTGTCAATTATATTTATCTTTTGGTGAATCTTTAATAAGCACCTAATGTATTAATTACCCAATCCTGTAGAGGCCATGTTTATGAGTAGAGACTTCTTTCCTCTATGCAATTCGTCTGTTTTGCTGGCACACATTGGGCTCTTACACATGCTTACATGTCCTTATGATTCAGATCTTAAAGAATCTGTAGAAGGAGCATTTCAGGATGTTGAGGTTTATAATAGCGACACTCCTGGCTTAGGTGAACGTGTTTCGGCTGCGGAAGTGCCAGAGCTTAACGAACAGGCTTTGAAAGATGGAATTAGAAATGTGGAAGAGTCCAGTGACAATGCTATGGCTTTGGTACCTGTTACAGATGAAGCTTCATGTGAAAATTATATACCTGACAGTGCTGGAGGAGCGGAAGGTAATTGAAGAGGCCTGAGAAGCGTGGTTTTTGAGGCCATGAACTGCTGAGATGTCTTCTTATTTTCTATGTTATTGCATCAGTATTTTGACACTACAACTTTTACTGATGTATTGAGATCTATGAAGATGCTTCGTGAGCGGTTGGCCAGCAGGAATCATGTCTTCATGCACCTCATAATACTGTTGTTAAGCGTATGTGCAGCTGGGGAAGGCAAGGAAAGGTTCCGTCAGCGCCTATGGTGCTACTTATTTGAAAATATGAACAGGGCCATTGATGAACTCTATTTCCTATGTGAGCTCGAGTCAGACGTCGAGCAGATCAAAGAAGCCCTACTAGTTTTGGACGAAGCAGGTCTTGATTTTAAAGACTTAAAAGCAAGAGTTGAGGGCTTTGACCGAGTGAACAAAGGCCCTGGTCTACCCCGACCAGCCTCGGCTGCGAGTACTAGCAGCTCTGTATCAAGCAAAGGGGACCCTCAACAGAGACGCCCTCACGCCATAGCTTGGGAGGTACGATTCACCGTAGAGGTTGCTAGTGAGTGGGTGCAATCGATATAATTCAGTTTATTCTCCGTTTATTCTCTGTAACCACTGCTATGCATATATCCTACTGCCGTTTGGTTCCTTCTCCTTTCTTTCTCATAGAGTTCTCCCACAGGTACGTCGTATGGCATGCTCTCAGGAGCAAGCTGACTTGCTGTCCTCATCACTAGAGGCTTTCAAGAGAGTTCATGGTTCCCTACAGTTCGGTAGTTCGCAAGGTAGGAGAAGGGACACCTCTCAGCTTCTCTCTCCAGAGTCAGAGAAGCTTGCCCACTCTGAGTATGTCAAGTTGAAGGAATCTGTTGCAGCTTCCCGAGAAATCCCTGTCCCAAGCTCCAAGGAAATCCCTCCTAGAGCAAAGGATTCAGTAGTTACATTCAAAAACACCACCCCAAAGCCTAATGAAGTCCCTCCAAATCGTAGAGATGCCTCCCTTAAGTCTAATGATGACACTCCCAATTGTAGAGATGTTCCTTCAAAGTCTAAGGAAGTCGTTTCCTCTATCAAAGAACTGCCAGCTAAAGTGAAAGATGGTATTATATCTAAAATCACTGATACTAAGCTTAGGGAAAATCAAAACTCACGGTTCTTGAGTAAGTCTTTAAATATAGGACCCCCTCGTGCAGATAGACGACAAGCATATACTAGTGAGAATTTGTCATCTGCACGAGCTACTGCTTCCCCGAAGCAGAAAGAATCGCTTCGGAGGAAAGGGAGCTCAATCAGTGATAGCGAGCTGCTTACCAATCGAAGCATTGATTCTGCCAGCAAGAGATCAGCACCCAGCACTTCTATTGACAGATTCATGAGTCCCACAGCGTCTAGTGAGCAGCGGGCTTCCTCCAGAGAGAAGCAGTTAAGTGTGGAGAAAGGGGCCAAGACCGCTCTTGAGGCGTGGAAGGAGAAGAGAAACTGGGAAGATATACTCTCTACACCACTTAGTCGGTCATCACGCGTGTCGAGATCCCCAGGGCCGGGGAGAAAGAGCACAGAGCGAGTACGTGTGCTGCATGATAAGCTTATGTCACCTGAGCGTAAAAAGAGGAGCCCTTTAGAAACTAAGAAGGAGGTGGATGGGAAGCAAGCTCGCGCTACAAGGATACGCATGGAGCTGGAAAATGAGAAAGTGCAGCGGCTGCAGAAGACAACGGAGAAATTAACTAGAGTGAGTGAGTGGCAGGCAGTGAGGAGTAACAAGCTCCGGGGTGGTATGCATGCTCGGCAGCAGCGTGGAGAGTCTCGGCATGAAGCTCACCTAGCCCAGATTGCCAGGAGAGCGAGTGATGAGAGTAGTAAAGTGAGTGAGGTGAGGTTCATCACTTCTTTGAATGAAGAGAACAAGAAGTTGGTGTTGCAGCAGAAGCTGCTAGATTCAGAGAGCCGGCGTGCTGAGAGGCTGCAGAGCTTGAAGTTGAAGCAAAAGGAAGACATTGCGAAGGAAGAAGCTGCGCAAGAGAGGAGACGGCAACTGGAGGCTGAGAGACTGCAAAGGATTGCAGAGGTGCAGCGACGGAAAGACGAGGCGAAAGCTAGGCGAGAGGAGGAGAGAAAAGCTGCGAGTGCAGCAAGGGAGGCCCGAGCCGTAGAGCATGTAAGGAAGAAGGAAGCCTGGGCTAAGGCGCAGCAAGAAGAAGCTGAGTTACTTGGTCAGAGACTCTCGGAGAGACTGAGAGAGAGTTCACTGCGGCGAAAAATATATTTGGAGCAAATCAGGGAGCGGGCTATGATGGACTTTGACAAGCAAGACAAGCGCAGCCGGGAGACTCTGAGTGAATTCTCTGGGAGGACTCGCGATCAAGGCTCTCCGTTTGGGAGGCGAACCTCAAGCCGAGAGAAAAGCTCTCCTTACCAAATATTGGAAAATGAATCCGAAAGAGATACACCCTTGGGTAGAGGGCCAACTGGTGGCAAAAGACAAGCCGGTGTAGGGCTGATCAGTTTGGTAGGAGATCGCGACAATGTCTATTTGCAGGTAATCAAGAAAAGAGTGAAGCGAATTCGGCAGCGGTTGACAAGCAGGAAAACTGAATTTAATGAGCCCCCTTCTGGTATTGAGGGCCATGGTCTTGGTACTGCAACTGTCGCAGGTTGGTTCACTTAACCTTCAAAGCATGCCATACGTTCTCAAAATGTGCCACAACCTTATGACCCTTTACCACAGCTTTGTTTGCTCTAGTTGTCTTGAAATTAATTTGAACTGAAATTAAGAGTCATTTGCTAGGTGGAGCTCGTTCGAAGATAGGGCGATGGATGCAAGAGCTGGGACGACTGCAGGCAATGCGCAAGCCTGGAAGTTTGACTTCCAGTGGCTTGATCATCTCCGAGATTATAAAGGTGACACTCATCATTAGGACCCAGTTTCCTACGAGTGAATTGTTGTGTTTCACCAATTATTTCAAGGCTCACTGCCCCTTTTGTTAGACGTGTCTTGTGGTTTAAATCGAAGAGCGCCAATTTACGTGTGCTTTTCTGATATAATTCTCTTGCAGTATTTGGAGGAAAGAGAGCCTGAGCTTCACGCTGCTCGTCAGCAAGGCCTTGTTGACTACATTGCCACAGCACTCCCAGCGTCCCACTCTTCCAAACCCGAAGCCTCAGCCTTCACTGTGGCCTTACTCCGCCTTCTGATGGTAGTTCTCTCGCTTCCCGCGAATCGGAGCTACTTCATAGCTCGCAATTTGTTACCTCCTCTCATTCCTATGCTATCCACGGCTCTGGAGAATTTCAGCACCAGTGACTCCGTAAACAACCAAGGAGTACTCTCACCCGTCACCTGCAGCCAGACAAAAGAAGTCCCTGCTTTTTCTTCTGAGAACCAATCCGCTTCTGTCTTGATTCTGAAAGAGGAGAGTATGTCTCAAGAGGAAAAATCGGAAGTGATGCAAGCAGCGCTAGAGGGATTGCTGTGGGTTGTTTTAGCTATCATCGGCCATTCCTGCGTTGATGATCACCTAATTCAAATGCAAGAGGATCTTGCAGAGCTAGTCGTAGCTTGCGAGGTCCTTCACAAACTAAAGAACCTCTTTGCTCTCTTTGATCGGCCACAAATGGAAGGAGCTGCAATTCCTGGTCCTGTTCTGCTAGGTCTGCGGTTGCTGGAGACTTTGACTGGGCCGAGGGGGAAGGCGCTAACAGCTGCTCATGAGGCCCCAGTCAACATCGTAGGCCGCTCTCCGCAGCCACCTCCGGAAGCAGAGAGCGGTCAGGAAGATGCAGGAGCGCAGAAGCTGGATGGTGTAAGGGAGGAATGCGTAAATGAGAACTCCTGTGTGCTTGGTAGCTTTGGAGCATCTGACGAGACGAAGGTGGAGAAGCCCGAGGCCAAGACTAATGATTTGGCTGCGGTAAGCTCTACCATACCCCAAATGGACGAAAAAAACCAAAAGAACTTGAATCGCTCTACAAAGTTCCTACTCGAGGCCATTGAGGAGACGGGGCTTGTTGGTTTACCTTCATTGTTGACAGCTGTTCTTCTCCAGGCCAATCCCCGGGCTACACCAGAGCAGGTAGTTCTCTTCACTGCTCATGAGGATCGTGTGTTGGAAGTCTGGAGATGGAAATTTAATTCCACGGAATTCTCTTTCTTTAATTCTGAAACATCATGTAATTGTGGTGTATCTAAAGGTTTTGTTTCCATATTTTGTTCTTAACATTAACATAAACCAACTGCCTTTTTGAAATTGGTTTGCTATCAGGCTGCAACTGCTCTCCCATCCAATTTCGAGGAGGTGGCTACTAGTGTTCTGCGGGTGTTAAATAATGTCGCCAGGCTCGACCTCTCACTCGTACAAAACATGCTGGTATGTGCGGTACTAAAGAAACTCATATTTCGACCGAATTCGTGTACAAGAGACACGGGCAATCTCCTCTATCACCTATCCTTGTTTTCCTTGATATTAGTTAACCCTTGGAGGATTTTGGATTTTATTAATCGCCAGCGCTCCAAAGCTGTTGGAGACCCTGAAAATTGTTCTTTTCTTACTTTTTTTTTTTTTTTTTTTTTTTTTGGCAGGCTTTACCAGATCTTAGGATGGAGTTCTTTCATCTTGTCAGTTTTCTCCTGTCTCATTGTACCTGCAAATGGAAGAGCACTACAGATCAGGTAACGGTTTTCTGGACCTAATGTTTTCTCCATGACTCTTAGTTTTTCATTTATTTTCCGGGATTAAAGATAAAGTCTGTGGTTTGAATGCACGACTGGACATTTTGTAGAGAACCAGTGGGAATAGTTGGCATAAGTGAGCGGAACAATCTGGAGCTATTCTTTGTTGATTATACTCCAGGGTCTTGGACATCTAAGTTTTTCTAGTACATGTGCAGGTTGCTGCATTGCTTATGGAAACCTTACTACTTCTTGGCTATGCTGCGTTGCTGCATCCTGGCAATCAAGCTGTTCTTCGATGGGGCAAAAGTCCTACAATCCTTCATAAGGTTATCGCGTGAATAGTTCCTCAATTGCACTCGGGATCACTTAGGCTTTCTTAGCGTCTTCTTCCTCCTCTCTCCTTTAACCCTGCATTTTTAGCAGCTATTTATAGGCGCTACATACAATGACTGAGAAAGTGTCGTTCCTTTCTGATATACGGAATTTTTTGCATTCTTCGTATTACTGATTTGATGTGTAACCACGAGAAAATACATTCTTACTAGTGTGTGGACTGTGGCGATATACACAGATGTGTGACCTGCCATTTGCATTTTTCAGCGATCCGAAGCTGACACCCATTTTGATCGGAACTCTGCTGTCGGTCTGCTACGGTAGCGAGCGCAATCGAGAGGTTGTTCAGCAAGAGCTAAGTATGGACTTGCTACTTGGGTTCTTGAAAAATCTAAAGCAGCCTCCAATTCCAGCTCCTGCACCGGATATGAGATCCGAAGACGATGAGACATCAGTGAAATCGAAGCCAAAATCCGCGTCTGAGCCAGAATCAGCTCCCACTACAGCACGTGGGCGGACTCGCCATAAGTCTCTTTCTGATGCATTTTTCCCATCACCGAAGAAACCTAATCGTTTGCTCACAAAAAGCTCACTAAACTTGAGCTCAAGCATGAGCATGGTCTCCTCTGATGGTGACAGCATTTCTAAGGAATTTAAGAGTGGGAACTCGAGCTTTAGGAACATGAGTGGTCGGGTTGCCCCAATAACCGAATCACAGACTGCAGCAAAGAGATCAAAGGGCGCTGCTTCTGGTTTTCCTTCTCCATCTCTTTCCATCAGATCTATGAATCTTTCCCAGACACAGACCACTCCTGTGACTAATGTTGCATCTCAAGACGTTAGTGCCTTATCTTCTACAAGCCCTGCAGTCCTATCGCTGCGAAACCGGTTTCCACAGAACTTGTGGTCATATGCCGAAGATTTCTTTTCAACAAGTCCGTGTGTGGAAAATGTTTTGAATAGTACATAAAGATCCTTACTGAGTAAGAAGGTGTAAGCTAAGAGGAATAGCCTCCAGCATTTTCAAGATCCCGGGTGCAGATGTATTAGTCTACAGAGAAGAGTTTCCGCTCCAGGACAGTGGCTACGTACAAATTTGAAGTGGCAGTCACTGCTCCGTATATCCACGTTGAGCTTCTTGAGGTAGCTGTTTTGAAGTTGGTAATGGGGTTCGTTGCAACCTCAAGATGCCGTGTTTTTATCTGTTAAGGTCGACAACCGGAAGTTTTGTTGGATCCCCTATGTATCAAACATGGGGTCGAATGGTGAGCAGCCCAGAGTGTGACGAGAATCCCCTCTGCACTATGGTGAGTTGCTGTAAAGGAAGTGATTACTTCTATCCACTAAGGCTGGGTGAGCCTTCGGGTTTGCCCCTCTTTTCTTGGAGGCTAATGAAGCCCCCATTTATCTGTTTTGACAAAATTCTTTCATATTCTGATTCAGATACCCATATCTACTTAGTGTGCGTCCCCGAAAGATCATTCAAGAACCTAATTAGAGAGCAGAATTTTTCTCCAATGAGGTCCACCATAGGCAGCACAGCAGGGATACAAGGACACCCTTTAGTCAGCCGAATCTTGAAATTTAAGAGATTTTCTACTTTCTAACAGGCATTATATGATTGGTTAAGAAATGGGAATTGCCATGTAAGTTTCAGATCCAAGTGAATTATAGTTTTGAAACAGCCAGTATTCAGAGTATCAGGTTCAAGTATGTACCAAAGTATGAACTCGTTGGTTTTTTGTTTTCTACTTCAAATCACAATTCTTAAACTAGTCGAGACAGTGCTACACCAGATTCCAGTGTTGAAGGATATACTTTCTTCTTTATCTCTTTATTTTAATTCACAAAACAATAAAAATCATTTCAGAAGTAGGCACCTCTTTAAAAAGAGAATAGGTGGGTTTACTGAACCTAGGGTTGCCATTTTAAATGTTCTGGTACTCGGGGATCAAAACTTGTGAGCCTAGAAATAAGTTACGAAATTATTATTGACCACATTCTTAAAGATTTAATTGATTTGAACAACAGGTTGATCCATTTTGATACATGGATGTATGTGTGATCCTCTCCCAAAATAAAACCGTATTCTTAATTTATGGTATTCTTAATCTCTACTCAAGGTCAGCTTTAATTCTTAATTATTTAATACAAATAATGAATGGGTGGATTGATCTGTAGAGGACAAATCTATTTGTACGAAGATAACCATAAACAGTAGGATTGCAACGAATATTTTGAAATTTAGTTAATAAGTAAGAAAATAGCATTTGAGATTTTGATGCAATATTGGACAGTTCCAATTTTCATGTATAAATACTATTAATTGATTATGATAATGTAAACCATGTTTGAAAAGTAGAGAGATAACAAATGCATATATAAATATTTTTCCAAGGATTAATACTAACTAATACTAATTAATTTTAAGATTTTGATGGTATATTGGACAATTCTAATTTTATGTATAAATATTATTAATTAATTATGATAATGTAAACTAGGTTAAAAAGTAGAAAAATAATGACTATATATATATATATTTATAATTTATAATTTTTAAATAAAATATTTAATCCAATAAAAAAATATTAAATAATTTATAAATTATTATGTGATCTTTATCAAGAATTTCTTTCAAGTTGCAATTCTACTTATACGTTTGACTTATAAAGACAAACTTATATAGAATAAAGAAGTTGAAGCTACAATTGAAGCTTTAAAGACATCTTTTACTACAATTCTAATTTTGTATTGCATTGATTTTATTAAGGTATTTTTTTTATGAAAATAGATACATCAAAGTTTACTTTTGATGCAATATTATCACAAATAGGAACAAATGACAAATATCATCTAGTAGCTTTCCATTCAAGAAATTTTTTAACAATAAAGATTAATTACAAGATCCACAAGAAAGAGTTTCTTGCAATTGTGGATTCATTTCAAAAATAGGGCTATTATTTGGAAAGTACTTCTAGTCTAATAACTATTTATATATATTATAAGAACCTTCAATATTTTGTATCAATATATATTTTAAATTATTATCAAGTCTATTAAAACATGTATCATGGATATATATATATATATATATATATATTCCAATAATTATCTATATGATTAGATAGAAGTAGGTAAAAATAGATTAATTTCATAATATCTTCTAAAATAGCTTCTTAGAAGCTTCATAGATGGAATATGTTGGTAGTTGATTAATAAGTTGGAAACTTGGTCAATAAATTAATGACATGTTACACATGATAGTAGAATGTGAAAAAAGCTAATTATGTGGTGCACATATAGAAAACTTACCTTCCAAATTAAAATATGTGTCTTGCAAAGTCAACACATGTTGGAGGTCCTAAAGACCATTACTACATAGCTCTTAGTTAAGCAGTATATATGGAGGCAAAAATGAAGCCTTCTTTATTCTTATCAATGTCTTTCTTGTTCTTAGTCTAGTTTCAAGAGTATATACTCTTTTTGTCCTTGGCAATGCCCATTCTATTTTTAATACTATATTACTTTTAAAATAAATACTTATTCTTCTTAAATTACACAAGTATGTTTTAAAATTCTCTTTGTTTTAATTCATATCTTTGATAGTTTAACAAGAGTGCTAATTCATTATTTTTGCCTTATTTTAGAAGTAAGTTGATTATTCTACTTCTATTGTTATATTTTGAAGGTTGCAGACTATCCACTTTTAAACAAACAATTTAGTTTTCTAACATAGTTTTTTTCCTTAAAGAAAGCAAACCACCCTTCTTTGTAGAAATTTTCATTTGACATTAGAAGTTGTGGATTATCCTCCTCTAATTTGACTTGTGGATTTACTAAGTTGTTTGAAATAGAAGGAAAAATCATAGATGCTATATTTGATAGAATTGAGAATAAATTTGCAACTATCGCAAATTTTTATGAACTTGTCAATACTCCTAGGGTGGAAATTTTACACATCACTAATGCCAACTATAGAAGTACTATTTCTACAACTACAAAAGAAGTATAGAATTTATGCCAAAAAAATCTACAATTGATAGAAGCAAATAAATCAACCTCACAACCAAATTCAAGAAGTCTTGCTTTTACAAGTATGAAGGAAGCAATGATTAGTATGCTTGAGAAGTTTAATGGAACAAGATCAAAATTTTAAGGATTTTTGTAATAAATTAAGTTCTATTTAAGATTGCATCTTTTCCAACACCTTGATGGATTTATTTAAGTTGGATTCATAAGCATACTTCTTTTTGAAAGTGCTCTCTCTTGGTTTACACCTTTGATGGAATAGGATTCATGACTCTATGATTTGAATTGATTTTTAGAAGTGTTTACAACTACATTTGGAAAAAATAATCAAAATTTTTTGCAAAAATCAAGTTCTTATTTTTACAATAAGAATTATAGTCAACTACCATATATGCTGCTAAATTCCAAAACTTTGATTGCAATATGGATTGGAATGACAAAGCTCTTATCAATCAATTTAAATATGGGTTGAAAGATAATGTCAAAGATTTATTATTAATAATACCAAATATAAATTCTTTGAAATAATTTATTCCTTAAGCCATTGCATGCAATAGTTGATTCTTTAAAAGGTGTCAAGAATAAAGATTTGGCTAAAAAAGAACGAGTCAAGTAATAACGGAATCTCTTGAATTTTTAAAAACTTATTCATCATGACCAAAACCAATGCAAATTGATATAATATGTTTTAAACTTCTCTCTAAGAAAAAAAAGATTTGAAATCATCAAGAGGATTTGTACTTATATTGTAGAGAAGCTAAGCTTACTACTCAACATCATTCAAAGAAGCAATGCAATTACAAAATAAAGAACATTGTTGTCTAAAAAAACAATGTATTGAAAAATAATTTTTTCCAACTACAATAAAGACCATGCAATTGGAATTGTGTAGAATATCTAATAAAGGTTCTATTCTATTCTGAGATCCATCACCTTGTTTTACAATAGATATGTATTTATGACCTAAAAATCACAAAGTCCTTGCATTATTAGATTTAAGAGTCTCAACTTATTTTGTAGATAAAGACTTCGTCAAAAAATAAGAAACATTTTTAGTCAAGAAAACTAAATTCATACATGTAGAAGTTATAGATGGTTGTTTATTGTCATTTGAAAATGTTAGCCATAAAACTACTTCTTTAGATGTAGTAATTAAAGATCATAATAGCATAGTAATATTTAATGTGATATGATCTCTTTTTAACCTGATTATTTTAAGATTATTGTAGCTAGAAAAATATAATCTTCAAATAGATTCAATTTCTTATAATCTTAATTTTTATTACAATTTAATCCAAAAAAATTCTTAATGAAGTAAAAATACAAAAGTCTAATACATCTAAACTTTTAGTAGTTGGTGCAAGAGCTTTTATATATGTGGCAATAGAAGGATCATCTTTTGATATATATGCCATGCCTATTTTTGATAATACAAAGTTGTTAAGTAGTATTTTTAGCCAATATCAAGATTTCTAAGATATTTTTAATATATATATATATAGATATAGATATAGATATTCTTCCAAAACATTGATCTTATGATTGTTCAATTGATCTTTAAGAAAGAACTCAACCACCATTTTGGACCAATTTATAGCTTATCGTCGAATAAGTTGATTGCATTAAAGGATTATATTGATAAGAATTTGACTAAAAACTACAAATGTCATTTAAAATCTCCAATAGGAGCTCCTATCTTATTTATGAAGAAAAAAATTTGATCTTTGCAGATGTGTGTAGACTATCGACTTAAGAAGATCACCATCAAGTACATGTATCTTATATCTTTGATTTTAGACTTCTTGATCAATTCAATGAAACAAAGATCTATACAAAAATAAACCTAATCTTTTTAAGTAATACAAGAGTGTATTGAAATTTTAATTTTTTGAGATTCATGTCCTTAATATGAAAGTACTAGTCACTTTTCAATATCTTGTGAATGATTTTTTTTTAGTTTCTTAATGGTTTTGTTATCTATTATTTAGATGTTATTTTAATTTATTCTAAAAATATAAAAGAACTTAAATTTCATGTTCATCATGTATTATATAAATTTAAAGATATAAGCTTACATACCAAAATAAAAAAGTATATATTCTACACTACTTAAGTTGACTTTTTAGGATACATTATTTCTAATGAAGGACTTATGATAGATTCCAAAAAGACTCAAATTATTATGAATTGGAAGTTTTCAAAAACAATTAGAAATGTGCAATATTTTTTAAATTTTTTCAATTATTATTATATCTTCATTAATAACTTTTCTCAAGTTATGGCTCCTCTTGTATGTCTGATCTATAAAGAAAAATTTGAATGGAGTAAAGAAGTTGATGCATCTTTTGAAGTCCTAAAAACAACATTTATTTTTGTACCAATCTTGTATTACATTAGCTTTTTGAAGGTATTCTTTACAAAAAAAATGCATGAGACTTTGTTATGAATTTAACTTTGTTATGGATTTGATTTAATAGCTTTCTATTCAAGAAGTTTTCAGCAATGAAGATTAATTACAAGATCTAAAATAAAGAACTTCTTATAATTATAGATTCATTTCAAAAGCAGCATTATTATCTAGAAGGTGCTTTTAATCTATTACAGTGTATACAAATTACAAGAATCTCAAGTATTTCATGTCAGCATATATTTTGAATTATTATCAAGTCCATTGGAACATGTCTTTATGAAGATTTGATTTAAAAATCACTCATCATCCCAAAAGGAGTTCTTATCTTGCACC